CTATAAGACTCAAATCTTACAATACAAAGCTAATGTGAAGTCTTCTTTCTCTCTTTTTCAGGATTTGTGAGTTTTGACAACCCAGCCAGTGCTCAGGCCGCCATCCAGGCCATGAACGGTTTCCAGATTGGCATGAAAAGACTGAAAGTGCAGCTCAAAAGGCCCAAAGATGCCAACCGCCCATACTGAGTAACAACCAAGCGGACCAAGAAGAAATAAAGCAAGGTGAGGATATGGTGAGGAAGGTGATGAGTGATACGGCATCAAGGAAAGCAAGGTCCTGTATGTTGGTGGAGCAGGAGGATGAAACTAGTTTAGAAAGAAAAAACCTGGAGAAGGTAACTAATCTTTAACACTACAATGCTAATTAATAGTAAAAAATTAAGAGGAAAAGCTTAACATGACATATTAGTGAATATAAGTTGGGTTACGCATATAAAAACAACTCAGGAAAAGTGAAAATACTAAAATATTGTTTTCCTTTTTATTTTCTTTCACAATCTTTTTATTTTCTTTCCTGCTGTTTTGATCTTTTCCTGAAACGACAACTTACCCAAGATCCTTCCGTCCAATCATAATTCGAGGACCCCATCGCTATGGCAATGGTTGCCTAGTGACCGATAAAGCCCTGACCCCCCCTTCCTCTCACATTGTTGTAAGTTGATTGGTTGGCCTGTGTTTGGGTTGCTGTGGCGATTGATTGCCTGTGTTGGTTGCCCTTGGCAATTTTTGTTATGTCACCTCGAGCAACCAGCCATGCGTTGACCTGCATGTCCTGTTGCTGTAGTGACCACAGACTGTGTTTGGTGCATTGTGACTTTATTTTGTATTGAACTGTGCACATACTGATCAATAACTGTCAGTGGCCAGGACTGTACTCAGAATCAATTGATTTGATTGGATATTGGATACACTTAATCATTGCATAGTAATTTGATAAATTCTGTAGCAACACTCGTTATTTTTTTGCAGCTTTGTTTTTGATCAGTTTCTGTAGTGTTCCATTTGGTGTCATTATTATTTGAACAAATTGTTTGGGTACAATAGTGAGCGTGGGCATCTGTGTGTACATACAGTATGTGTCTGTGTTACACTGTTAGTGTGTAATACAGGAGCGCATAACCCTTGTCGTATTAGTGTCTGTGTAGAGAGGTTTTCCAGATGTTTGTATCGTGGACTGGTGAAGAAATGTAGAGCACCACTTCAGTTTTGCAAAATATCACGACATTATAAGAATTTATACAAAATGCTCAAATGGCCGCCCATGTTGGATGGTTACACAGTATGGTATGCAAATGTTTACAATGGCCCTGCAGTTTAGAGGAGAAATAAACAAAGTGATGTAATTTTAATAACAAATGCACACTGTTTTTGGGTGAGCATGCATTTTGTTGAGCTGTACACTGATAGGCTGAGTTTGTAATCTTGGATTCCGATTTCTTACGTTGTTTGATGTGGCACTTTAGTTTTAAGCTTCTTTGTTTCTCTCTTTTGGCATCTTTTAAATTCTCTACCACTGCTTTTATGGTGCTCCACCCCTTTGTTACCTCCCTCCTCCTCCTCCAGTCCCTTATCTCCTTTTTGTTTCACCTTTCCCTGTCAAATTCTTTCTTTGCATCTCTCCATCCCACCCTCCTCTTTCTATCCCTCTAGCTCGTGTTTTGAGGTAAAAGATATGTGACTGTCATGGTGGAAAAACAAGTGCTTCTTGCTTATTGGAAAACAGCCTTCAACTATAGGAATTCTGGGAGAAATATAACAGAGAGACTATAGGATCTCTTCAGTTTAAGCTAAATTTAATCCTCCACCACCCCTGACTTTTACCAAAGAGGAGAAAATGTGTAGCTGCTTTCAGGTCAGTGTGTGGAGGCACCATCACATGGCAGCACACATTCTAAATAAAGGATTCTGTTTCTATTTCTAGGCAAACTTTTACGTAACTCCTTGTGAATAATAATAAGGTCTCTATGTGTAATTTTACCACTATTTGAACTCTTGAAACCTGCTGCCCCTGCCCTAGTCTAATTAAAATTTTCACCCAGAATTTCTATACTGCTAGAAATGCTAGAAATTGATGCATGTCAATAGTACTGTTTGCTTGCCCTGACTCAAGGCACATAACTGCTACATATTCTCATAAGGTCACACACATTAACACTGGAGCTTTACAAACACAAACACATATGCATACCTCTAGACGTACACTTCCATACACACACAAGGACACAAATAGTGGATTATCACCGTACTGAGTTGCATGATCCAGACACTGCGCGTGTATGTTAAAGCACTATGATTTATTGCCTCTTAAGGACAGCGCTTTACAACTTGAATGATGCCTCGTTGTTTGAACTGAAGAAGATGAGTCTGAATCAGAGGCAGGTTAGGAGCATCCTAAGGTGCAGTTTGCTGCAAGATGAATGAAAGCAGTTCGAGTCATGCCTACAGAAGAGTTGTGTTTGTTGGGAGGGGCATGTTTGAGAAGATATAAAGATCAGACAGAAACATGGAGCTCCAGTGTATTTATAACTCTAACATGTCCTCCCTCCTTTTCTGTCCCTTTTTCCTTCCCCTCCCTTCACAGGTGACCTTTCAGAGTCCAGCTGAGGTGGAATCCCAGAGCTGTGCTTTCAGACTGTCTGCTACCTTTGAGCATCCGGAGAGTGCAGCCACACATACTGTACACACATAGACACACACTCACACGAATACACATGCACTCTCAACACTGAACCTCAAACAAGGCTGATATATAAGGCTGATATATAAATGTACATAAAGTGCACAAACACACACACACACACACACACATTGCCTGCCAACACACACAAATACAAACATTTCACACAAGTCAGCAATCTTACAAACATAGCTGAGAACTTGGTTTGTGCGGCGTTTCCCAGCAGGGTGTTTAGTACAATTAAAACAACTCAGACCAAGTGTGTGGAGGGTACTGATGAAAAATGCTGATATATCACTTCAGTAGACAATAACATGTCTATACCATGTCTATTATATGACAAATATAGCGAGGCCGATGTTTCATAATTAAAGAACTTTATTACAGACTCAAGGTCAAAAACAAATAAATAAATACATAAAAACAATAAAAGAACAGTTTAAAAACGAAACAATAAAAACAGAAAATACATAAAAAACGAGAGCACAAGAACCCTCATAAAACTACCGCCCCTTTAAAAGACAGGTATACCAGTGTTTCCAGAGAACCGAAGTAAAACGCATGTCACTGTGTGCAACATTAGTCAACGATAAAATGATATGATTTTTTTTTTTGAACAATTCAAGCGACAAATAAATTTAAACATCAGGTTTCTTAAAACAGCGGAAAATGTACTAACTCGAGATGACACGAATAAATCACTTGCACTCGTCCATCTAGGCTTTCTCAATAATATCCTTAGGGCGTCATTGTAAGCTACTGACAGTTTCCGAAGACTGCCCATTTTATAATTACACCACAGATGGGCAGTGTACAACGAAGTACAATACGCTTTAAACAAAACCAGTTTTACTCCCACGGAGCATGCACCAAATTTCTGTGCCAGTACATTAGCTTGTACATACAACATATGGCACTGCCGATATATATCCCCGTCATCAGACAAACAATCATTAATGACATGACCCAAATACTTAACTTCACTGCACACAGTTAAAATGTTGTCAGATAACTTAAAAGAAGTAAATACAAGGGACCTGGCCTCGTTTGTACAGCATATCATAATGACACTTTTGACAGCATTATACTTGACATCGTGACATTCCCCAAACATTGAGCACACGTTCAAGAGCTGCTGAAGACCTGCTGAGCTGGGACTAAAAATCACAAGGTCGTCTGCATACATTAAATGATTCACAACTTTGTCACCGACCATACATCCCGTTCTGCACATATTTAATTCTTTAGACAGATCATTCATGTAAAAATTAAACAAAATTGGGGAAAGCAGACTACCTTGTCTTACGCCGTTACCGGTCTGAAAAGGCGCAGATATACAATTATCCCATCTAACAGACATAGTCTGGTGGGCATACCAGTATGACAAACATCTCACTATAAAGGAAATACAAAAAAGACAATTAAATGAGTAGGCTAGAGAGACTTTGGAGAAGATCATAATGACCTGTAAATAATTTACAGTAGTTTACAAAGAGCAGCATTTAAAAAACAAGAAAACATGCAAAAAGAATACTACTTTAGATAAACACTGAACAGGACACAGTGACATTATTATTATTATTATTATTATTATTATGACTAGGAACATCATCATCTTCATAATGGGATATTACATTCCAAATTGTAAAATGGGAAATCACTAACCTATTTTAAATTTCTACTTAGATTTTAGGTGAACCACAGGGGAGGGGGGACTGCACTTTTATTGGGGAGGTTTTAATATTTGAGCTATTTTTTATTTATTTACTAATTTATCAGTTATTCTGTTTATTGGGAGAACAAATTTGAGTGGGTTGCAATATTTTAATTTTAGAATTTTCTAGAAAAAACTTTTAAGGGCCTGTTTCTGTCAGACTCTTGCAATTGAGTAAGTATGATGTATGTATTAATTATTACAGCAATTATATTTATTTCTAATTTATTGAATCCTGTTTTTGATCCGCTCTTTTTAAGTTAAATAAAAAGTATCATACTAAACACCCTAATGTGATTTATAAAGTGTATGTGTGTTTGTATGTGTGTGGCAGAAAAACATTTTAATGATTTCTTTCACACAAGAATCTAGATTTGAATGAGTCAACACAAAAATGCCACAGGAATGTGGTATGACCAGAAGAGGGCGTATGTATAGAGCATGGAATCAAAGGAGGATACAAGCTGATGTGCCTTTCCTGTTATCTTCTGTATCTGTTTATGGGAGTAGGCTACTCATTAATCAGCAGAATTAAATGCTGTATTGGTTTCCTCTTTGACAAGACTGCCCTCTTCTCCTTGTGGGACAATAATTTAACATGTTGTTCCCTTGATGCGCTCAGCTCAGTCCAATTTACCTAAAGAAGAAGAATAGCATTATTTGATGTGTACAAGTGTGCAGATAAATTATTACTGAGCTTGCTTACCATATAATACAGTATTTCAATAGCATGTTTCACCAAAAATAATAGCTTGCCATCTGGATTCACCAAACCTATGTAGCCCTGTGGATTTCAAAGTTTTTGAATTGCTCTCCTTGTGACCCAAGATGTCAAAACCAGTACAGTATTCCCTACATGTATTTCAATAGAGAGCAATCACTTAAAAGTGTATAATAATACTGAGGTTAGAAACAGACAAAGAAGATCAACAATTAGACTCCACTGATATGAAGCATGGGGCATATTTTACAGTTTAATTCCAAAAGATTTGCCTCTAACTTTATAAAAATGCTTCATGAGGCAGTTATAGGGTGGATGCAAGAAACCTTCCTTAATGTCAAAGAGTGCATATAAGAAAGTAGTTGGCTATATTTTCTTAATTGCGGACCTCTTGGCTTCTTGAACCACTCAGAATCTCTCATGATCCACTAGTGACTTCTAAAGCAGACTGTGAAAGCCAATTATATAGCCTATATGTCACAAAATTTCCCTCTCACTTAGGCTGTTGAGTCTACTTTACCTTTTCATTTCTTGGATCTGATATTTTTGCAATACATCTAAGATCAAGCCAGATCCAGAGAGGTTGCGGTTACTATTTATAACGGGAGCAGTGGCAACCTCACTGACCTTGTCCATTTGAAACCATCTCACATGTGCAAACAGCACAGTATCGGGGGCAAGCTTTTTTGCAGGCTCAAGATCAGTCAGACCTCAAGACATCGTGTACTGTGTGTCAGCCTGTAACCCCTCACATGCTACTTTGACAGGTAATAGGTCAAAAGGATTTGAGGATAACCTATTCTCCTTGAAAAAGAACTATAGCTGTGCAACTGCAATAGAAATATAACACAAAACAACATTTAATGTACAAAGGGTAATTTTATGTCTAAAAATATAAAAGGTTGTATGTTAAGATTTAAGAGCAACCAATGCATGACAGTGGATGATGCTTCCAAGCCAGTGGTGGAAAGTAACTAAGTACATTTATTCAAGTACTGTAGCCAAGTACCACTTTTAGGTATCTGTACTTTACTTGAATATTTTTATTTTGTGCTACTTCATATGTCAAATCACTACATTTTAGAAGCAAATATTATACTTTTTACTCCACTAGATTTATTTTAGAACTTAGTTACTTTTCAGAACCACATAAATAAATAATAATTTATTTGTTTATATAGCGCTTTACATCACCCAGGGGTGCTCAAAGTGCTTCACAACAAAACATAAAAATAAAAGCAGAACATGTTAAGACACATAAAATAACAAAGAGTTAGACTAATTAAAATTTCACAAATTTAAAACCACGGTCTGTAAGAAACTATAAAACTCCTGTACAATAAAAATGAGTCACAGTACAAACAGAATAAGATTATAGAATATAAAATCAGAAAGCCTGTATAGCGCCACTGCTATAAATGAAATGCCGAAAGCCAGTCTGAATAAGTGTGCCTTTAATTTAGACTTAAAAACCATTAACTCAGTTACGAAGCTCAGGAGGCAGGGTATTCCACAGCTTGGGGGTATATACGACAAAAGAACAATCCGTTCTGACCGGTGTATGAATAGTTAAAAGATCAGACAAATAGGCTGGAGCAAGGCCATTAATGGCCTTGAACACAAACAGTAAAATTTTATAATCAATTCTAAACTGTACCGGAAGCCACTGAAGGACAGGGGTGATATGAGCATACCTTGGAGTATTTGACATTAGGCGAGCAGTTCTAGGCGAGTTCTGTAGTAGTTGGAGCCTATGGAGGAGAGACTGACTAATTCTAGTGTAGAGGGTGTTGCAGTAGTCAAGTCATGAGCTAATGAAAGCATGATAAATTCTTTATCTTAAGTAAGGGATCTGAGTTCTTCCACAACTGTACCAAACTTTGGCTAGAAGATAATTTGTGGTACCTAATTTCGGTGTTTCATTATAAATACTGTCACTCTGAAGGCCAGATTAATTCCCACAAACATAATAGAAATGTCATGCAGGAGATTAAAAAGGAAGGTCTGATTTTGTAGGACACAAGACATTTATAAATAACCCCAATAAAATAATCTTAAATTGGTTTACAGAATACAGTAGCTATGACTTGTAGGACTGCAGCTAACAATTTTCAGTTCTGATTAAACTGACGATTATTTCCGTTGTTAATCGTTTATTCTACAAAATACTTTTAAAATCTGTAAAAAAAAATGACTGTCACTACTTGTTTTGTCATTTCAAAAACCAGATATATTTTGTTAGGAGTTATGACATAGCAAGCAGAAAGTTCCCAGTGATGAGTCTAACTGTAGGACAATCAACACAAGGCGGCGTGTGACGCGGATAAGCGTGTCAGGTCTTCAGGATAGCTACTGTCCTATTTTCCCACCGTAGAGGCGTGTCAAAAGCATCAAATATACTGAAGTACACATCATTTTCCATAGTCATGCACTGAATTCGCGCCACTCCCGCGCGTCACATGACGAGCTGCGACGCCTTTGTGCGGTGCCAACATGCTACCTAGATAACAAGGAGGTCAAAGGTCAGAGTAGAAGCAAAGCTTAGGAAAACCTGTGAGTCCGATATAAAAAGTGAAGCACACATCCGACAAAACCAGTAGTTTTATCATATATGAAAACGTAATATTTCAACGGCTAAAATTAAGACAGAGAACGGGGTAAAACCTCCGTTTTATGACAAAAAAAAAAACGCGGATGTGTGTGTGGGTGAGCAAAATACTCGTGCTTGAACGTCATCTGCGTCCCTCCCTCTCCGTTATCCTCTCACTCCTCCCTCAGTCTGTTTCTTTCAGTTCGCTCCCCTGCCGGACTTACCTCCGTCTCTGCCCAGCCGGACACCCAGTCAGCCCCCACCGACTCCTGGGACACAAGGGGGAAAAGATTAACTGGGTTACGACGAGAGAGACAAAAAAAATCGCCTAAACATTTGTTGGGAAACAACTGGCGGTCGCATTGCGGCATCCCACATATTCTCTCATCAGTGGCAGCTTTTTTCTTATCACCCCCATTAATCATTTTCTGTTGAAGAAAAACAAACTTTGAGCTCCAGGGAAATATAAAAATCAGTCCGGATACTAAACTCGGACACAACCTGCGCACTTCTGAGCACAACCAGCGGGCTGGGCATAGTTAACAGGACCGTTAGCCAGCTAGGTGGGACCCGGACGATTTCGTGGAAAAATACAATAACATTTTTTTTTCAGTTAGAAAGCTACATTTTACGCTTCCCTACGGGGGAAAACAACAAAGTAAGTACCGTTTCACTGTCATGTCGACGTTATTCGTTTATGTGTGTGCATGAATGTGATTACGGCGCTCCGCTCAGACGTCATTACGCATTGATGTACGGTGTATTACATATAATGGACCGAGTGGAGTTTTAAAGACCTAAACGAATGGCTTCGACAAGTCGTTACTGTACTATACTGTACTGTACTATTGACTATTGTTGTCAATATGAAGACATGAGGCCGGTTTCCGGCCTGGTTCATGGCTTAATGGTGGGTCTTCCCAGGTTTGCTAACTAGCATCATGCTATACTACTACCATAGCCTGCTACACACCCTGGTCGCAGATAGAAGAACACTTTGAGTTTGTAGACCTGAATGTGTGCACTTCTGAAATATCTGCATTGTAATTACAGTGATTTGTTTCAGTTTGGGACCCATCCTTCTAATGTGGTATTCACTGCAGTACAAAAAAACGAAGTACATTTCCCCAAACACTACTTAAATACATTTCTGAGGTTGCAGAACTTTAGTTACCTACTTGAGTATTTCCATTTTATGTTACTTTCCACATCTACTTCACTATGTTTCAGATGGAAATATTGTAATGTTTAATGTTTCACTATTATATTTATTTCACAACAATAGTTAAATCAGAGATGGAAAGCACTTAAATAAGTACTTTAGTACACTTTTGAGGTATCAGTACTTTACTTGAGTATTTTAATTTTTACTACTTCACTTCAACTTCATTACATTTTAGAGGCGAATGCTGGATAACTATAGTTACTTCTTAGGCTACCTTTAAGAATTAGATTAAAGTAGCTACAACAAATCTAGTATGAACACCACAGTGACAGCAAACACTCAAATATAAATAAATAATTTAGAGAAGAAGGATTACATAAATTGAGCTAGGTGTAAACTAATTCATGAGTAGGTACATCAGTCATGGGAATAATTTAGTTAGTTTTGTTTGTAACTGCCTTTCATTGTTTAGGCGATTTTTTTGTCTCTCTCGTCGTAACCCAGTTAATCTTTTCCCCCTTGTGTCCCAGGAGTCGTTGGGGGCCTCCGTGAGCTTACATCCTCTTCAATTCATTGAGTAATCAATAATTCATTTAGAGGCAGGAATGTTGCCTTGACTATCTTTGCACAAAGCATCTCAGTGTTAGCCAGTGTTTGATGAACATTACCCTGTGGAGCCTCCACTCAAAAGAAAGAATAGCCTCTCATTCATCCATGGGCTAAACTAATTGCCCCGAGCTGTACTTACTCAAAGGGCAGAGTTGGCCTGCCCCAGTCAGCAGAGTAGACTCAGCCTGACAATATTACCCTCACACCTCCTGAATAGACATATTCAATGGGGAGATTCAGTCGGCACCTGAACGACTGAATCTTCCTATCAATAATTAATTCAAAGGTGTTGAAGTCAACTTATTGTGATCTCTAGCTGATTGGATAATGATGAAGCAGATCACTGCAGACTGTCTCCTCGTTGGGATGAGTTGAAGTTTTCCCCCACTTAAAGTATGTCATTTTCTGCAATCTCTGTGTTTTCCTAACCACACTATCTTGTACCTTGAAAAAAAAAACTAGCCAGCTGTCTTCTGGAAGGCCATGATCATGAAGCAAGTCTAAAATGTAAAGGATGGTTTAACATGTGAAGGATGTGTATGACTCACCCTCAGAACCCCGTGACTCAAAATATCCAAAGCATGACCTGAATTACAACTAATGGACCATGTGCAGAAAATGTCAGCCTCCTGAAATACCACTTTTTTCTCACAATATAGGCACTGAGAATTTCATGGCTTTTACTCTAACAATCAAACTGTGGCTACATGTTGGACTACATGAAATGAAGGGTGCCAGTACAGAAGGTTGACATAGTTCATACCTACCATCAACTTGATATTAAAGTTACTCCGCCTAATTTCTTTTCATCTTTAAGAGTCTCGTGAGACGCAAAACAAGGTGACAACCTAAACCACCAGTGTTTCAGATAATGTACATTTTGAGTGGCGGACTGCCACAGCAAAATTGTTCCTGTCGTTGCTTGAGAATTATATGAAATATCATAACTTCGCAATTACACAACTCTGCATAGGGCTTTTAATTTGAAACCATGGATACAGCGTTTAGTCAGTGTACTGTTTTGTCTCTTATCAAACTTCAAACCTGATTTATTAAACTCTCAACTTTGACCATTCATGTTATGTAGTCTACGGTAAACATGGTCTAAGTTATCTGATGTACCTGTGGTCTATCTCTTGTAATTTCTAAAGGTTTATGGTTTGAATTACTCACCTGTTAGTGAATAAGTTAAGTATGGGTTGATATGAGTAATTGAGTGACTCACAGTCAGAATAGGTTGCCACTGTCTCATGACTTACGTTCCTCTAGGCTCCTGTCATTCAGATAAACAAAATATTGTGTGACTCTACATAAGATGTTATTCATCCATGGAGAATAAATAGGAAAGCTGGAGTGCTCCCCTGGTACAGCAGCAGCATGTTTACATTCTCAAAATATCCCTGGTTTCTGTACCAGGTTCCAGTATGGTCTGTTTAGGTTTTCCTCAGAGTTGTTCCCTTAAGTTTAACGTTAATTTTGTGATGCTGCATTTTGGGTTTGCAAACTTTTAGGTAGAGCAAGAAAGAAACATCAGTAACAGCTGGAACTCTACCAGTTCAGAGTGAAATCTCTGTTTACAATCACCACATCCTTGTAATGTATTTTCATAGTGAGCACGAGAGAAAGTGGGAGACAGTCAGTCAGACAACTTCCTGTCTCCCTCCCCCGCCAGAGGCATCCTTTATTTTTATTGGACCTTTGCAATGGCCAGAGTTGGGTCATATGATCCTGTGGGCCAATGCAATAAATGTGGTGTTAGGAAAGCTGTGGGGGGGAAGTGCTTTAACATGCTGAATTGGCTGAATGATCTCAACAAGTAACCCTAAAAATATGCTCTCAGATCCTTAAGCATCTCTACACAGCCCACTACTGGGGCAACGCGAAATATAAATAAATATATTCTTGTTTGGGTGTGTGTGCATAATATGTGTATTTGGGAACATGTTTCTGCTGGTACACTGCATCAGTTTGTAGAACTCATTTATTACATAGAAAGGTCAGCACACTCCTATATTCCTCAGCACTTCTGCCCTTTGAACTGTCTTTATTTGTGCTCAGAAACTCATTTTGTTATCCCTGTTTTGTGTTAGATTACATTGGCTTTTTGTGGAGCCAGACATGTATGCAAACAGAGTTCACGAGACACTCCAAGACTCATGAGATGTAGCACTACTAAAGTGGAAGAGCTGGCAAGATTGCTGGGAAAAATATGTCACCCTTCCTAGCCACCCCATCTGTGCTGAGGAGGTAGAGAGAGGAAAGCCCAGAGCACAATCAGCTGTGTTGCTGCAACAGGAAACAGGGGGCATGACTAATGCGACATGATGTGAAAAATAACCAACATACTCAACCATGGCAATATCTGTACAAGTAGGAGAAACTGGTTTCACCATCAGGGTTGAACATCAAGAGCTGATCTGAATTAGTTGCATTTAAAGACTTAGTAAGGCACTAAGGGTGTTTTCACACTTGGTCCCTTTCAACCCTCAAAATGAACTCAGAGCCAACTGAGACCACCTCAGGATTTGGTTATAGTTCTGTTCATTTCAAGTCTATGATGCACTTCACTTAATCTGCGCATTGTGAACATGAAGCACTCCAGCATTGCTTCAAGTCTTTTGCATGTAAGGATGGAAACACCAGCAATCTGTTGGAATATCTAGTGGAAGTCCATCACAGAGAAATGCAGGTTACCACTGACTAGCTCATAATTTGTCTCCTTGTCCAGGTATGTTATGTATTTAGGCAGCCTTGAGCCCCCGCATGGCGTTAAATTAATTATATGAATAGGCTATGGGTCAATGATTAAAATTAACCATTAGCCAGCTGATTGTTGTGGGCTCATTCATAAATTCAAGTCTGCAGTGGCCAAAGCGTCGTTCCCAAATTCAGTTTCACTTGGTTCTATAGTATGAACAGAAGAGGACTGAGGCCCCATCAGAGCTGAAGTTGACCAGAAAGAGAACTGAGTCCTCTATCAAATGTATTCATAATATGAACACAGTAAGAACTAGGTTCCCTTTTTGTTGGTCCTCATTGTGGAACTCAGAAGGACTGAGTTCAGCTCATTTAAAAGGGACCAAGTGCAAAAACACCCTAAGACATAGATAACATCGCTGATCAGTAGGGTTAGGTATCGAGCTTTAGATGTCAAGCAACTCAGTAAAACCTGTCAGACTTAGTTTTTGATAAGATAGTGACCATTCTTGTATGACTGATTGTGTTCAGACAGCATTCAACATTTGATGACTTAGCTGACACAATTAGTCAATGAAATGGCTAGTTAACTGACCAGAAAATAAACAAAAAATTTTGATTAATCATCAATCCAAAGATACTGAAGACTCTGGGGTTCGGGCCATTGGTCAGAAAAAATCATAAACCTAAATGTACCCAGCTCTAGATGTAGATGTAGAATGTGAATCCTGCTCATCAAGGACACAGTTGTTTTATGTTCTAAAGTCAGACGTTAGTTAGTTTTCTGGTTCTCTTCTAGCAAACCTTTACCGGTAGGTCAGATTCAATTGAAGCTGCATACTGTGATTTAATAGTTAGTTAAGAGAGGGAGAGCAGTGCACATGGCTTTGGCTCTCTGGGCCAAAGAGAGAATCCTTGAATACTGGCGCATAGCAGCAGGGTGGGGGTGCTGTATAACTGTGAGGGGGTCTCTGGAGATGGGGTGTGCGTGAGGGCCTCTGCTGATCTGCATATATGCACATATTATGACTCACATCCTCCAGATGCTATCTCTCCCTCACCACAAACTCTTTTACTCTTTCACTGCCACCCCCTGAACTTAGCAGTAGAAGCATTCATCACTGCACTTGGAGTAAAAACCAACTCTTAACGGCTGCTGACAACTGTTGAGGAAAGGGCTGGTGTTGATAGGTTTGCTCAGTTGGTGTGTTTCTCCTCCCTCGTGTGCCCCTCCTGAGCTCCCTACATGCTGCATGTGCTCTGTTATACTCATTAGGGAAAACTTACCTTCCAGTGAGAGGGAAATGTTGGCACCATAATCTAATTCTCTAATTACATGGTACCAAACATTTCCAATCACAAGTGTCCTCCCACATAGGTAGCCAGGCCTGTACAGCAGATGCCATTAAAAGCAAGCGCCTATAGACAGCTTGCGCTCTCACATTTTCAAATGTCACCACTTGTATGGGGTTTAGGGGTCTGGATGTTGTCCCCAGAACATGTGTAGCGTGGATTATGGCAGTTTACAGCTTAGCAAAACCATCAAAGTGCTGACTCTTTGTGTGTCCTGTGTTTCAGGATGCTCTCGGAGTTGAGCGAGTGGTTCTGGCAGGAGGAACTGTGGTTTCCAAAGGGTCTGGGCTGGGCTGACCTGGAGGATCGGGATGGACGAGTATATGCTAAAGCCCGCGACTTGTGGATGGCACTCCCCATGGCCCTTGTATTCCTCATTATCCGTCAGATGTTTGAAAGGTCAGTCCATTTTTCACCTAAGTAGTGTCTTTGGTTACATTTCAACATTAACATTTGTTTATTCTATATTTAGATATTTCTTTTGTTTCTTTCTTGTCTTTTTTCCTTGGTTTCTGCCTTCTCTTTGTCGTCTTTGTCTTTTAGTCTGCTAATCAGTCATCTCCTCCTCTGGCCTTGAATTCATTTTTTACTTCTGAATGCAGCTTTTATCTCACCTTTTTTTTCTCAACAATTATTTACTCACCTCCATTCTGTGCCCTACTTTACTCCGTTCTTCCAAGTGACTTGTATTATTTCTCATATTGCTAAGCAGTGCTTTCCTGTTTCCACTAGCTAATCATTTCAGTCCACCAGTTTTTTATTGTTATTAATTCTCTTCCTCATTATTGTTTTTAATTCCTGCCCACCAAGTAAGAAGCCCTTTTTAGACATGAGATGTAACACTGCTGGCTTCATCAGTGGTATTAAGTCACTCCCTAGACCAGGGGTCGGCAAGTTGGCGTGCCCTCGGGGCATTTTTTCCTACGTCATCAGATGGCGGGCCATCAATATATTATATCAATATATTTTGCAATTTAAGGGTAATATATATACATAAAAATATAAGCATTGTGCTGACTTGTAAAAGTAAATGAATAAACTAATAAAATAATTACATAAATAAAGAAATATTATTCCCGTCCCCTCATCTGCAATGTTGTTGTTGCTATTTGCGTAGTTACAATTGGCTCCACATTTAAGCTAGCAAGCAAACAATGTCGCTTTCGAAAGGCCTAAAGAGGAAAGTTGCCAACAAAAACAAGACATACAGTGAGGAACAGAAGTATTTGAACACCCTGCGATTTTGCAAGTTCTCCCACTTAGAAATCATGGAGGGGTCTGAAATTCACATTGTAGGTGCATTCCCACTCTGAGAGACAGAATTAAAAAAAAAATTCAGGAAATCACATTGTATGATTTTTAAAGAATTTATTTGTCTTGCACTGCTGAACATAAATATTTGAACACCTGAGAAACAGCAAGAATTCTGGCTCTCAAAGACCTGTTACTGTGCCTTGAAAAAGTCCACCTCTACTCCACTCATTAATCTAAATTAGTAGCACCTGTCTGAACTCTTTAAAGACACCTGTCCACCCCACAGTCAGTCAGACGCCAACTACTACCATGGGCAAGACCAAAGAGCTGTCAAAAGACACCAGAGACAAAATTGTGGACCTCCACAAGGCTGGAAAGGGCTACAGGGCAATTGCCAAGC